GCAGCAAATATTTGCTGCCCGTATCACCGTTCGGCACTTGTCTTACATTCTAATCATCTGTGTACCCGTTGTTGGTGACACCTATCGTTCCGCAGCAAATTCAGAGAGGAATACGTCATCTTAGACTCTTAGTATTAGTGCACATCTATCTATTACAGTGTCTCCCATCCCATCTTATTATTGATCCCAAATATAATAACAACTAACAGTTCATAATTATTATTATGTAATGTATTAGTATTAGTATGTATGAAACGCTGTATATTAAGTAACATGATACATTGAAACCAAAGATGCTCAAACCAAAAAATCCCAATCTTGAGCTCAAGTAAATATATTGATAATTTCCTCATTGCACATATATATAATAATGATATAACAAAGTTCATATCAACAAGCATCTCATCACGATATTACACTAACTTGAAAGACTTCAATCTCCTCCACAGAAAACATGCCCATACTATCTCTAATAGGTTTGAAATACGCATCATGAATTGAATAATTGCCAAGAAGAGTAAAACTACCAGCAAGAACCAAATCCTTGCCAAAAGTTGGCCCATAATTTGGGTCATTACAAACAGCCATGGCAGGTTTTTTACAAAGACTTAAAACATTGCCACTTGACTTCAATGCAAACAAAAAACTAATAGATGTGTGTGTATATTTCTGAAATGCTTTGTTCCAGCTTGTGGGGTTAAATCCACCAATTATTTCGTTAGTCCCCTTGATTCTAATAACTGTAACAGTAGACCCTTGATTATCACATAAACTATGGAAAACACTTGGTTTATAACCATCACGACTACCTCGATAAAGTAAATTCAAGGAGCTAGATGTCTGCACTTTTAAATGCCTGGATAATATAGCCTCTATAGCATTTACTACCCACTGAACCTGTGCATTGTTAAGAATCAGTGATGACACATTCTGAGAGACATCCTTAGTTTTTGCCTGTGGTGGTGGACTGTCAGTATTAATCTGGATAGAAGAATAGTGGTAAATTTAGGCAGCAGTTCATCAATCATTTACTGTCAACTTATTAGCGAAATACTTACACCTGAAGGCGTCTGTGGTCTTCTGGATTCTGGTTGAGGCTTTGGAGATTCACTTTGACTATCTATTGTACGAGTCGGGTATGAAGTGCTTGCAGAGGAGTCTGAGGTAGTACCAGCATCCTTCCTTGTTGACACTCTTTTTCTAGGTGGTAATATTTCTGATTTAGGTTTATATGCACCATTAGTCTGTTTGTAACGAATTAGATCTACCCGTAGCTGGTATGGGAGCAAATGAAGAAGTGGCACAACTTTTTCAATATATTCGTCATTATCCATGTGAAAAAATCTTACAAGCGGAATACAATCTTTAAGTATATCCTTCACAAACTCTCCATGTGCATGAGACCATTCTAAATCGTTCCAGGAATCAAA